TGGCCTGCAGCTGTGAGGGAGCCTAGTGTGGCCTGCAGCTGTGAGGGAGCCTCGTGTGGCCTGCAGCTGTGAGGGAGCCTAGTGTGGCCTGTACCTTCTGCCTGACTTATCACACCCTTAACTTAATTGGATTCCTCAATAACATATAAATAAAGCAGACTTACTTGGTGACGTGCAGAGGTTGATGTCATTTCGGAAAATATAGAAAAAGCTATTAGAACGTCCTTATAATAAAAAAAATGTACAAGAAATTAAATGTTCGATAGTGAATTTACAGTGAAAATGTGTAGAGTTAAAGTCCGAGTATATTCTGGCGAGGCAGGACCAGCACTCTCAGTGTGTGTGTGTGTGTGTGTGTGCGTGTGTGCGTGTGTGCGTGTGTGTGTGTGTGTGTGTGTGTGTGTGCGTGTGTGTACAATATATTTCAAAAGTCTCTGTAATAGTATCAAAAACTCAGAGATCGTATTCCCCTGAGAGTAATGATAATGATCAGTTTAGGAAACAACTTCTGTATACCTACAGTAAAGTATATTGGTGGTAATTGTATTAAGTAATGTTCTTTATTGTATTTACATATTAACAATATACCGTGTTTACTCCCCTAAAGTGACCGGACGTGTGCCCTAATACAGTCACCGTACCTGGTCGAGTTCCCCCTTCATAGAAAATATCTAAGTTGATGTTTAATGATTCAAGTTTATATTTAGCCCTTTGTATTTGGCAACTTTATAGAGCCGAAGTGTACCTTTCCTAGCAGTATACTCTGGGTGTACATAAAACTAGTAGTAGTTATGAAGATATATTTACACCACCTGCAGACATAAAACAGATATAGATTCATGAGGGTCAGAAACAACGCGAACAGACTCTGAGGCGCTTATCATACCATCTCAGATCCTTCAAATATTTTGTTTATAGATTTCGTCGAAGGAAGTGATATTTTAATCTGTACCTGAAAATAATATACAGTACACCACAGGCAGGCATAATACTGATGTTAAATATATACGAGATGGCGCATGTCTTACTCTCTGGAAGTATCGATGCAATAGGAAACGTCATTAATATAACACGTTTCTATCTTACGTCATTCACTCACTAGATTACAATTAAATACCAATAGATTGCATTTGACTTCCAGGAGACCAGAGAGCTAACACCCTCCCATGAGATAGACGAGTCAGCTCTATGAATACTGATACTGAATGACTGATGTTCATAAAAACTTTCAACCAGTAAACATTAGTATAATTTACAGCTATTTCCCTTTCGGTCTTTATGTTTTTACTACGGAAGGACAAGACCAATGTCCACCAAAGTTGCTCCTCCGAATTCTTCAGTCTGAAAACTCTTCAGAACGATTAAACTAGCCTTATCCGTCATTCTTGGTGGTGACTCGTGCTGTCAACTAGTATGTCACAGTTTTTTCTTGCTTCTATCTCACTCTGGATGAAATGTTCAACAGCCGATACACATAGTTAATAATAGTTATCACAAATAACCAAGAAAATATTCTTAGTTTACGTGTTGCATCAGTGCAGAGAAACAATTCATATTTGCATTATTCATCATAATTATCTCTATTCTCGAAAAAAAACCTCAGTATGGGACTCATAAAACATTATATATAAAAAGTTTGCATTGTCACTCTCTTTAGCTTGACTCAACCTGTGAAGAATATTTCAAATTCGTTCACCAGATAAAGTAATAAGTTATAAAGGCTGGTTGTCGTATATCATAGCTAACTGCTGTTCCACATTCATGAGTATTATCGAGTTATGCAGGAAACAACTTGAGGATAGGAAAAGATTTCATATTTTACTTTGGAAGCGTCGCCAGAGAACCAGCAAGCCACGAGTCACCTGTTTGGGTAGAGGTTCATATTTTTCACCTGTCGAAGGTCAAATATTTTTAATACTTTGTTTTTACAGAAGTTAACAAACCTCTCTATTTATGTTTCACCGCATAATAAAGCTACCATCATGCTAAGTCTGTCTGTGTATTTTGTCTATGCATAGATGTGAAGTTTGAAAACGAAGGTCCCTAAGTTTCAAAACTATTCTGCACGATCCCTGATAGTGTTCGATGAGGAGACGCTAGGGATCACATTAAACAAACACAGAAATCACAAACAACACGATAAGGACACCAAGAAAAACAATCACATGAAATATTACCGTCAACTTCAACAACACTTTTAAGCATCACGTAGAACATAATCACTATCACAATGGTTATCTTCGTGCAAAGTATTTCAATGTCAGCAACAGGGACCTGGAAGACATAACCTTGACACACCACACAAGAAGAATTCTATGGGTGTAATATCGGGAGACCGTGGAGGCTTGGAGACGAGCCATTACATCAAGTCCATCTCCCAGGGTAGTTCTCATTATGGAAACTACGTACACTTAAACTCCAGTGTGGGGACTGAAAAACTAACTAATGATTGCAACTTAATGGAAATAATTCGTATATGGTAATATATATGTATATATTATTTAAGACGTCGTTTATTAACGTCAGATAACAAAATAATACTAAGAATTTTTGAGGTAGGTTAGGTTAGGTTAGGTTAGGTATTAATTTATATATATTATGATTATGTATGTGATCGTCTATGCCCAATAAAAGTTTAAAAAAAGAATTGCAACATACACACAGAAAAGGGCTTGCAGAATCATGCTCGGCGCAGAATACTCCGGCTACACCAACGCTCTCTCCACCCTGGAAATGCCATCCCTCAGTGACCTCCACCACCAAGCACTGGAAAGGTTTGGCAGCCAACTAATGCACCATCCTCGTCATCGCCACCTCGTGCCACCGGCAGCCCCCCACCCACCTCGCGCAGTCCGGCCCTACAACAATATTAAGCCCATAAGAGCCCGCACCGATAGATATAAGAATAGCACCATCCCATCTATTGTTAAAATAATAAACAACTCCTGATTTATGTACTGTACAGCCCTGTAAATGTATTCAATGCATATTATATCATTATGTCTAAATCAAATGTAACTGTAAATTTTCAACCACCGGCTGCAACTCTATTAATAAACTGTTTATTATTATTATTATTATTATTACACCAACAGCTACTTCTGTCCACCTAAGAGGTGCATCACCACAGGCATACACTCTCCACTTATTTATATACTATTTTTATTACCGTTGTTATTATTGAATCCATATTCTGTGGCTCTTACCGATGGTTTGATCCTTCCTTATGGGTCACTCTATGGGTTTGATTGTTATTCAGTCGATTAAAACCAACATAAATGATATCAGACTTCAATGACCTTGTGTATATATTTGTTTTACTCAGGATGTGAAGTCGTTCAACATCACCTGTAAATCCTTCCCTGGTGGTAATAATTCATCGTCTCATAAGTAAAGTGTTTGCTCCTATGAAGGAGTTATATTTTTTCTTTTATAGTTGGCCTCCATTTGTCCTCACAGTCCTTCCCATTTCTTGTTATTACTGTCTCCTTCAACTCTCCTTGTCCTCACTGCCTTCCACCCTCCTTGTTCACACTACCATCATTCCTTCCCTTTTCCCACCGCCCCCTCCTCGCCCCACCCTCCTTGTTCCTACTTCCCCTTCCTTCTCCTTATTGCCTCCCCACCTCGCCACCATTACCCCTTCCACGTTCCTAGCTGCATGTTGTTAGCAACCTGTACTAGTTGTTCCGGTCAACAAGGATCAATACTAACACCTTCAGTAAAGCACAGAATTGAAAAAATATATAATTTCTCCACTCTGAGGAATCTTGTTCTATAAATAAATGTGTTTTTGTCGTGAGTTTGGTGATTTTTTTTTGTATGTGTCGTTTTTACAATCATCGTAAATCTGAGCTAAATCGTTCGTTCGCATGTTTCAAACTCAAGAGTGAAATAATTAGCAGCAAAAAACTGGAATCCCACTTCGTTAAAAAGGAAGATGGAATGGTTGCTGGTCATCGAGAGTGTACCTTAGTGGAGTCACGGGGTGCGGTGTGCAGTACTGAATGTGATGGACATATCAGAGATGGCCTGTCCCCCCCCCCCCCTGTAGTTGTTGATATACCTGCACTATGTTGTTCTCCTGGCCTGGGCTGAGCTTTGCCCTGAAAGAAACTCTCTACAGCAGAACCTACCTAATAATTGTTTTAAGTAATTAATTAACGTCATTCTTGTTTGTAAATATATGTTATAATTTATTCGAGACGCAGGTGTTAAGTTCTGACCGGCGTCTAAGTCATTTGATTATTGTTGTCGTATATAAATAAGTTTTAACTATAATAAGGAAATTGTAACTGTTCGTTTTAAATATCCTCAACCATACTTAATTAATAACTTATTTATTAACTAATATTAACTGTAATACACTAAACTTTGTCTACGGTTGAAACTTCTGTTTAATAAAATACCTAATTTATCAAGTAATTATTGAAAGTACTACAGCAAGTCTTCATACAGTTAACTTGAGGCTTTAATACATAACAGTTTATTAATATTTTATTTCTATAATAGTTCGCTCGTCTTGACGCCCACGACTACCCCTCCCTTCCCTCCTAACATCAACACTCTCATTACCACCCTCAGGCCCCTCCCACTACAACTCCCCCACTTCAAGTTTCTTCCCCTCCCATAGTTCCCCCTTCCAATCCCTTCTCCTTCCCCCTTGACATTCCTCAACTCCCCTTTACTCAGTCCCGTGATGTCCCTTAACTCCTCTCTCTAAACCCGTTGATATCCCATTGATCCCTTCTCTTAGATTCATCCTTTCCCATATTATCTCTCTCTTTCGGGTTCTTCCCTTCCATTTTATCACCTTTCTACACCCCCCCCCCATCCTGTTCCAACCCCCCTTCCCCCATCTCACTGTAGCTCCGCCCCTTCTCTCATAATTCTACTCAGACCCCTCCCTCCCTCCCTACCACTAGCACAGACACTGCATTTTTTGTCGACACTACACAGTATGCAGGTTGCCATAACACAGGCACTCACATACCGAGTGAGAAGCATTGCAGCTGGACCTGTTTTCCTCGCTAGCTCTACCTCGTGCTGTCTACAAGTGACTCAAACCTTCACTAGTCCTGATTACAGGTTGGATACAGTACAACTCAGTCCTAAACAAGACACAGTTGCTTTAATTCACAGAGTAACATCCCCGGTACACTGTGTGATAAAGTTTATATAATTAATTAGATAAATTAGCGTAAGAGTTAATAGTCATAGATCCTTACCTTGTTAAATGACAGGAAATGTTGCAAGAGAAGGCAAAACAGATTAAAAGTAAAAGAAGAACTATTGTAAATGGTGTAACTAAATTATATAACATAGACGTAGACTTTGATATTTCAATTCCAGACATTAAATTCCTTATTAGTTTAGAAGTTAAACGTAAAAAATATAACATTAAGGTCCACAATGTACTCCTTGCTGCGGATATTTCTCCATCAATCATGACATTGTAAATAGTTTGCCGATGTGTTTATAAGACTTGGTTTCTAAAACACTGCATCAGATACAGGTAGCAAGGAAACGAGACAGGCAACCAAGAAATGTGGAAGTATTTATTTGAGGGGAGGAATTTTGAGCCATAATTTTCCTTTACGTTTGAAAAATAAAAGATAAAGAAATTAAAAATAAAAGAAGGAAAACAAAATTATACATACGAATAAAATTATCAGCGTAATGTTCTTCACCGACACACTCAGTCCGCCCGAGGTCCTCAAATTGGTGATTTTTTTTAAATATAATAATAATTTTTATTAACAATAGTTACATACGTTAAGATGATCAATAGAAACAAAAATATTAGCTTTTTATAAAGATGTTTCGTCACCGTGATCAGATTACCTTCTGGTGTTAATATTTCAGATTATTTATTGGATTACTGTTAATTATTTTCAGGTAACTATTAGTTATAGTATGAGGGGGAGATTTGCATAGCTCTCCGTCATCACGCTGTCGTCTGGAATTTAGTGTCAGTGTATTAATAATGCTCAAAGTTCAACTCAGTCGACTGGAGTATTATATACAAAACTAATTTTTCTAAAGACAAAACAGCAACAACTAATAAAACTTCAAGGTTTTTTGTCTGCGATGAATTAAAGAAGAGAATAGCGTTAACACAATGTCTTATATTATGGGGAAAAGAGAACAAAATTTAGTACCTAAGAACGACCAGTCATCTCGTCTTTTCTCTGCCTCAGTGAGTGGAGACCAAATTTTGCGTCTTTCACTGAAACGTTATTGTTGAAGAGTCTCGTTCTCACATTACAACCAGTATCAGAAGTTGCCTCAACATTTACGGACGGTCCCTTAGTAAGTAATCCAAATATGACATAAACTTTGATGAAACGACTCGAGAAGAAACTGGGATATCCCTATCCTTAGGATCAAGTAGTTTGCGAGAGAGAGCCTTGGGCCAAGACCAGTGGGCTCAGGTCAAAATTCAAACTCCACATTCAATGCCAAGGATCATTAAGTTCGCCAGATATTTTTAGTTTCTAAGATTCAGAGTCAAAATCTAAGATGAAATGTGCATATAAATATACCTTCTCATACTTGCACAAGATCTTGTTTTTCACTCAAAATGAAGACTCGTTTGTGTAATATTTTAAGCAAATCTCCAGGAACAATCTCATGCAACCATGGTCAAAGGTCAATGCAAATTATACTTTATCACGCTGCCCCTTTTCATAGCTCTACTGCCAACATTGTCTGAGAAATTTGACAATAAGAAAATTTCCGCCACCCGTCCCAACAAGGCAGGACAATACGTGATAATCTTGTATTAATATTACGTGTTTAGGAACTTCAACCCCATCAGTGTGTGTATGAAGTAGGAGTGAAGAGAATAGAGAAAAGAAACAACAGCTAATAGAGAAAAATACTGAAGGCAATGAAGAGATTCCTTATAAATATTGGGAGTAGAAATGTAGTGATATTTTTTATTAAAAGTAACAGGGTCAAGGCGTTAAGAGGGATGAAGCAGATTAGGCTCAGTGCTTCACGTGTATAAGGCTCACGTTTTGCCTGGTATAAAGAAAATACTTGTTTATGAGGTAACATGGAAGGTAGGCGAAGTAAACTGCAAAAAAGATAAATAGAGAGAAGAAAAAATAGAAGAAATTAGAAAAAAAAACCCATGGCATTAGTGGTACTCACATACATAAAACAAGATTCAATGAGAAGATTATCTAAAATATCCGGGACTTTTAGGATTATTCAAGGTAGAGATCTTCTTATATTTGACGAGGTGAAGTAGAGAGAACTGTGTGAGCTGTGACGGGGACGAGCAACGTCTTTAGAGAACACGTGGAGTGCATCAGTTAAGAGAGCTGTCTTAATCTGATTCCAGCCGTATTGAACTATGGCCAAAAAGTCTTGCAAAAGAGAAAAAATAACATTAACAATATTCATAATATATTATAGAAATCGCCTAAAATTGTTTACACACTTATAATTATATAAAGGGCGAGAAATATTATAAGAATGTTAATGAAAAATTACATTGAAATGAAATGACAGGGGTGCATGAGTGTGTGTGTGTGTGGGGGGGGGAGGATGCTTTGGGTGCGGTGATAGAATATTTATCCCTCCTTCAGGTTGAGGATGAGAACCTTGTTGTTGTTGTGGCTGCTGGTGTATAGGTCCTGTGCTCTGGAGATATTGTTCGACTTCATCCATGTGTCAGGAATGGGGTTTCATAGTACCACCGAGACCAACGCGTCAGTCACCACCAAATCCCTTTGTGAGTTGGCCACTATATCTACGTCTCGCTCAAAGTGATGAAATTATATATTTGATTTTATGATTTTAATATATCAGATTCTTTACTGTATGATATTGATAAGTAAGTCAGACAGAAAGAGAATGAGAGATTATGTTTGATGGAATAAGAAAAAGTATATGACGTTACCTCTACAGGCAGCTGCAGACAGCAGTGCTTCTCGCAGTCATTCTGTAACGCCTGGACTGCCAGTAAGGTTAACGCTCATTACGAGTGTCACTTCAGTATTCACGGACCCCAGCCTCCAACTTCACCTTCTCCCCAACCTGGTGCGGTGTACAGCTACAAGATTAGTAAGTCTTTATTTACAAGTGTGGGAAACAATATGGCTACGAGCTATATGTGAAGTAACAAGTTAATATGTAGGCAGGTTATGTGTCTAAAGGATAGGTAAATATGTGGCTATAAATTAGGTAAATTTATGGCCATAAAATAAATATCAATAGTTAGAGTAACTAAAGAGGTGAATGTTATAGTTGTTATTGTTCTCAGGACGGATTGGTTGATGTTTGTGTGTGTCTAAATACCTTCTCGTCGGTCAGGTCACTTGATCTTAAAATAGTCTTATTGATAGATTAGACCTTCGGCTAATTCCTCTGTTTCAGAAGATTTTCTTTGTTTTTCAACATTTTGCAAAAATGGTAAAAATACAACAAATGATTTGGGAATCTGTCAAATGATTCCTAAATGTGATGTAGTTGGTGGCCGGATGACCCTTGACCTCAAATTATTTCTTTCATCCATGTACTATTTATTGGACACTTATATTACTGAAGAAAACAATGATTGAAAACGTTTGACGACCAAAACATGATCATATCAATTGATCTTGAAACATATTTTGAAAATACGTGTCGTAATAATTTGACACCACATGTAAATTCGTTGTTTTTCTAATTATAAAAAATGTTGTTTCATGGATGTTATTTCTTGTTTGTTTTCATATTTGTATGAACATGTATTTCATGCCTTTCAAATCTTCATGGGAACCCTTGGAGGTGTAAAATACACAAAACGCCAAAGAACTTAGCGATTCTTTTTTCCTTTGTCGTTATCAATATATACTGTACAGTACATGGTATCATACACACCTACAGTGTGTAGGGGTGCCACTTCTGAATGGTCGTGTTTAGGGAACACTTTTTCATAAAAAAATGAATAGGAATTGTTCAAAAAAAAATTGTATTATTGTTCCTGATGTCTGGGTAGATATTATTCCTCTACCATCCTCCTTGTTGTAAAATATTTAACGACGTTTTTATTCGTTAATATTTACATACAGTACATGTTCACACATCACTTATTGAAGACTCCTTCGAGTTCCTCTGGTGTGAGACAAAGATCCCAGGAGGCAACAAGCATCCTTTGGTTTACTTTGGTGAGGCGATGGAATAAGTAACTCCAGTCTCGGTTGGTTTTAATAAGCTCATAATTAACTCATTATAGGACTTCAGGATCTTGGTACCCTAACGGGACAACGAGATACCCTTGGCTCAGGTTCCTGCGCTTTGCTTCCTGGTTTTCCATTCACGTTGTCTCCCTCCCCACTCCAGCAAGATGGAAGTACAGTGTACTCCCACAATAGATGTTGCCATCCTCACAGAGCGTCAGCGTGATTCTATCTGGACGCTGGTTGTGGGATCTGTAGTACCTATGGTTTCCTGTGTGTTGGGTAGCCAGCACTTGTCAGACTCCTAGTGATGGTGTCCTTAACTTCGTTATGTCTTGTTTGCTAACCACCATTAGCCCTGTAATTTACGAATCGTATTAAATATTTAGAAAGGAAATCTACAAGACAATGGTTCCCTGACTTAATTACTCCTTGACTGTCTGTATGACGTTACCTGAAAACTTATGACCTGACATTCGCCTCAGTCACCCGCCTGGACACATCACTTGACGCAGTATAAAACCTCCCCGAGTAATTGTTCTTGTCACACAACACAAGAGGACCTCAGGTTACGATCGAAATATACTGTGCTCTCTTAGTTTCCTGTTTCCTCTTCACCTACAGTGGGATTTCAGTGTTTTGAGTGTTTGAGTGTGTGTGTGTGTGTGTGTGTGTGTGTGTGTGTGTGTGTGTGTGTGTATCATGTGGGTGTGTATCTCTAAGTACGTAATCTGATGGATGATTCTTCATTCGTTCCTTTTGTTTACCATCGTTATTGGTGGCGACTTGTGTGTAGCTGATGGTTATCATCTATTTCATATTTCAGCTGGCCTGAGTAGCAAAACCGGCGTGCATGAACGGACGGATGGTCATATCTACTTTGTACCTGATGAAAGGTTAGAATTTAGTACAGCCATCAACTACTGCCAAAACATACCCGGGTTTCAACTGGCCATTTTGAAGACAAGGGAGCAGATTGAGATTGCCAAAACAATTTCATCACAAATACAAGGTAAGTATGTTAACAGGCATACGATGAGGAATATACATTTGATAAACCCATAACCACTGACACACCTATTATGCAGTGTACAGTAGGAGCAGTGTTTTGTGTACAGGTAACAGAGTCTACATAAAGATGGAAATATTGACCATTAAGTATCCTTACACACAGGTAAACAAACACAGAAAGTTAGAAGTAGTGACATCCTCGGAGCTATAGGGCTTCAGTCACTATAGGTTGAGAGAGAAACATGTACCCACTGGTCATGAACAAGTCTTCATCACTCAGGCTTCATGGTCCAAATGTCTGTGTGTGTGTTTACCTAAATATATGGGATTTTCTTCCATATAAAGTTAACACAGAAGCATTCTATCATTCCCTATTTCACTGCCGCCCATAACACCAAGGTACTATTACAGAACTGTCTTACTTAACTATTCTATTTTTTTATAATTGTCAGAGTCAGTGGTTGAATGACAACAATTTCATTTGCTCAAGGAAATTTTTTAATTATTATTAAATATTAACTTTTCCTCCTTTAGCATCTGAACCAATAAATAAATAAATAAATAAATAAGGTTAACAGCACATGAATAACCACGCCTTCTACCTTATCAATAACAGTTGTGGAGTGTTTGTGTCCTGACCGGAACAAGAACGTCCCTCGTGTCCAGTTACAGTCACAGACCAACTTTAGCACAGACACTAAACACTCATATCGATTTATGGAAAAGTAGTTGAATTATTTTTTTAAGATTTTGTTTCACCCATAACATGAACTGTGTTGTCATTATTCCATCTTTATATTCTACTCTTCCATTAATAAAGACTTGATGTGACATTCCAGTATATGACTAAATTATCGAAGAGTAAAATTACGAACTTCTTTTTTTAATTCCGAATATTTTTACTCTCCACAGAATCGCTTCACATCCACCTGACGCATAAAGACCCAAGTACCCAGATATGGGGCGATGGTACCGAACTTACTGGGGACCTGAAAGACTTGGTGAAGAGTCTTTCGTGCAGTCTTATTTCAAATATAGGTACAACTTACCGAGTGAAGGACTCTGGCATCCATATTATCTGCTCTCGGAGGATCAGATATTTTCTTTGCCAATCTAAGACTGACAATGGTCTTCAATAAACCTGAGAGACAAACGAAGGGAAAAAAAAAGGTTTCCGTATCAAGTCAAGGTAAAACATTCGATCCATATAACTCTCTGTATTGTATATCTTCTTATACTACTTCTGTTGTATGACTCTACGTGTATACAGTGAGATAAAGTGATACGTAGTAACACATTGACTCGTGTATGTTAAGTAAATAGTATCTACTCTTTATATCACAACACTGGAAATTATTTAAAGTCAAGTGAAAGACATTCAGTAGAAATATATTATATACAAGTGTAAGAAAAATATTATGTTACATATCTGTTTAGTAAGGTCACCCATGTACTATTAAGCCTCTCTCTGTCCATGTAATTCAGTTGCCTCTGAAGATGACTTGAATGAAGACGAAAGCCTGGGTGCTCCATTGTTTCTCTTTTCATTGTGTAATATATATATATATATATATATATATATATATATATATATATATATATATATATATATATATATATATATATATATATATATATATATATATACCTTCAAAATAAATCTTCATAAACGTTAAGTCTCGCCTTGCTTTCATTTATGATTTTTCGTGGCCTAGCTACATCAACCTTCTCATGGCACGACTACCAAATTGGCTTGTACCACTCAGCCCCAAGACTCATCTAACTCTACACATTCCCTTGGTCCTGACGCCCATCATTCAGTTCCTCCACAGGTGCTCTCTCGGTTCACTGGGGCAATAGAGAGCACTGAGTATCTATCACACGCAGCATCCTGTTATTATTTTGTTCTGCAGACAGTGAGGAGTTAATTGTAGTCACAGGGATATCTGTAAGAGGGGAGACTCTCGTAATGCTATAATTCTTCATAACCTGACCTTCAATCACACATATATTAATAATTGATGGCCAGTCAATGTGACCAAGGATAGCTAACAAAGCCATGAAATGCTTGGTCCCAGTAGTCCTTATGCCAGTAGTATCTGATGTTCTTAAGGCCAGCCGGTCACTCATCCAAGTACTAATCACACCTAACAAGAAGCAGTGTTTTTACGTATGTTTGATTCAAGTATCAGAAAAAGAATCTAGGTTGCTGAATCACCAGTCAGTCAATGAAATCCACGCAATTTTTCACATAACACTGTAACGCTATGCAACCAAATAGGGATCATCACTCACAACACTTGCCAGAAAGCCAAGCGTTACCCGGATGTATTTATTTACAGTAGTATAAGTTTCCAGTTCATGACAATAAATACAAAAAAAAATAACTCGAAAGCGAATGAAAGTTGAATTTATGTTTGAAAAAAAAAAATCCCAGCGAGGAATTACGAGTGACACGTCTGCTTCAAGAGGGAAGGTCCAGGAGTTGAGTTATGACTAATTGGAGGAAATTGTGTTGACATCTGTGAAGCCATTTCTGATTGGAGGGAACGTGGAGGTTGAAGTTGAGGAGGTGAAATGTGTCAGACTCGGGGAAGACAACTGGGTAAAGGCGATGAACCGAGTTAACAGGAGGAGTGAGAGAGATGTCAGTTGTGTCGGTATAAAAAAATAAATAAATACTCCATTACAAAAATGAATCAGAACTGAAGTAATAGAAGATAAGCATGACAAGACGCGGTATTAAAAAAATGACATAGCAGAAAAAACAAATTTTTTTTTTATTAATAGTGAAAGTTTGCGATCACAGAAAATGGTTGTATATCTAGGTTAGGTTAGGTTAAGACCGAAATCATAATATATGCTCCTGGGTAGGTTAGATTAGGTTAGGTTAAGACCAAAATCAAAATATATGCTCCTAGGTAGGTTAGATTAGGTTAGGTTAAGACCGAAATCATAATATATGCTCCTGGGTATGTTAGATTAGGTTAAGTTAAGACCGAAATCATAATATATGCTCCTGGGTATGTTAGATTAGGTTAGGTTAGGTTAAGACCGAAATCATAATATATGCTCCTAGGTAGGTTAGATTAGGTTAGGTTAAGTTAAGACCGAAATCATAATATATGCTCCTAGGTAGGTTAGATTAGGTTAGGTTAAGACCGAAATCATAATATATGCTCCTGGGTATGTTAGATTAGGTTAGGTTAAGACCGAAATCATAATATATGCTCCTAGGTAGGTTAGATTAGGTTGAGTTAAGATAAAATCGCCTTGCCATATCCTGGGTATGTTAGATTAGGTTAAGTTAAGACCAAAAGAAATCATAATATATGCTCCTGGGTATGTTAGATTAGGTTAGGTTAAGACCGAAATCATAATATATGCTCCTAGGTAGGTTAGATTAGTTAGGTTAGTTAAGACCGAAATCATAATATATGTTCCTGGGTATGTTAAGATTAGGTTAGGTTAAGACCGAAATCATAATATATATGCTCCTAGGTAGGTTAGATTAGGTTAGGTTAAGTTAAGACCGAAATCATAATATATGTCTCTAGGTAGGTTAGATTAAGACCGTTAGGTTAAGACCAAAATCATAATATATGCTCCTAGGTAGGTTAGATTAGGCTTAGGTTAAGTTAAGGCCGAAATTAAGGCCGAAATCATAATATATGCTCCCTAGGTAGGTTAGATTAGGTTAGGTTAAGTTAAGACCGAAATCATAATATATGTTCCTGGGTATGTTAGGTTAGGTTAGGTTAAGACCAGAGGTATAATATATGCTCCTGGGTATGTTAGATTAGGTTAGGTTAAGACCGAAATCATAATATATGCTCCTGGGTATGTTAGATTAGGTTAGGTTATGTTAAGACCGAAATCATAATATATGCTCCTAGGTAGGTTAGATTAGGTTAGGTTAAGTTAAGACCGAAATCATATGCTCCGGGTAGGTTAGATTAGGTTAGGTTAAGACCGAAATCATAAGGGTATGTTAGATTAGGTGAGGTTAGGTTAAGACCGAAATCATAATATATGCTCCTGGGTAGGTTAGATTTGGTTGAGTTAAGACCGAAATCATAATATATGCTCCTGGGTATGTTAGATTAGGTGAGGTTAGAGTTAAGACCGAAATCATAATATATGAGGTAATCATTAACTTAGGTTAAAACCGAAATCATAATATATGCTCCTGGGTAGTTAGATTAGGTTAGGTTAAGACCGAAATCAAAATATATGCTCCTGGGTAAGTTAGATTAGGTGAGGTTAGGTTAAGACCGAAATCATAATAAGCTCCTGGGTAGGCTTACACCAACAGTCACAATGGTTCGATTACTATGTCAACAACCACCTGCCACTTCGTTAACAGTTACCTCCGCTATGACAGACTTTCACCAACTCCCTCTTATATCTTATCTTTCGTCTTATCATTCTCACAGTGCCTCACTATCCTCACAGTGCCTCACTATCCTCACAGTGCGTCACTATCCTCACAGTGCCTCACTATCCTCACAGTGCCTCACTATCCTCACAGTGCCTCACTATCCTCACAGTACCTCACTATCCTCACAGTGCCTCACTATCCTCACAGTGCCTCACTATCCTCACAGTGCCTCACTATCCTCACAGTACCTCACTATCCTCACAGTACCTCACTATCCTCACAGTACCTCACTACCCTCACAGTGCCTCACTATCCTCACAGTACCTCACTATCCTCACAGTACCTCACTATCCTCACAGTACCTCACTATCCTCACAGTACCTCACTATCCTCACAGTACCTCACTATCCTCACAATACCTCACTATCCTCACAATACCTCACTATCCTCACAATACCTCACTATCCTCACAATGCCTCACTAACCTCACAGTGCTTCAGGCGTGACAAATGGCACACATCACCAGCAGCTGAAACACTCATCACACACTCGAGTCAGCAATAAAACACTGGTGATAACTGCAGCGTCATAATGCACACCTTATAACTCATTTGGCAGACCCGCCCCGCTAACACATCAGGACGCCTAACCTAACCTAACCTAACCTATCAGGACGCCTCACCTAACCTAACACATCAAGACGCCTAGCCTAACCTAACCTAACCTAACCTAACACATCAGGACGCCTAACCTAACCTAAACTAACACATCAGGACGCCGCCACCACGTAATTATTTGCCTTGTTGGAATTTAACGAAATAATGATAAAATGAACCAAATTTATCGGAGCAAAGATCTCGTTGCCCCTTTTGTTTCGTGTGTTTGAAAGAGTAGCATTATTTAACAGAGGCGTGAGCTCAGTAGATGGACGTTGAATCGAAAACAGTAACACATAGAGAGAGAGAGAGAGGAACAAGGTGAATTTACATGAGCCCACATCTTATAGTACTTTCAAAATATTCATCAATTTTATTATTATCCCAACCAAGAGAGTGAGAGACAGAGAACGACAAATATTAGGTTTTTATTCTTGATTAATTCTTGATTTTTTATATTTCTTCTTCTGGGATAAAAATGTACGAAACCATATTGGATGTTATAGAAGATGACAAAATAAATGTTAATCAGTTGAAAAAAGGATAAATTATTTTGTGTTTGTGAATCCTCAGTGGAGAGGCTGAGACACACACACACACACACAAGACCTATGGGGTGAGATGGGGAACTTGTGATTTTTGTATTTATTGATTTTGTAGGATTTTATATTTATTGTACAGGCGAGAAACAAGTAATTGCTAAGAGAAATAATACAAGATTATTATTTTTTTCTTCAATACAATTCTTATATCTCTCTCTTGTATGGAGCAAAATCGCCTATAAAGGACTTAAGAGTGAGAGAAGTAGAGAATGAGGGATAAAGAGACAGGCAAAGAGAGAAAAAAAATATAGGTAAACAATTAGAGACATCAAGAGACTGAGAGATAAGAAAATAACAAAGTAATAAAGTATATTTCTCGTCCAGTGTCATCTTGAACGGAGCTTTTGTCCCCCAAACTATTTTTTTCCAATTTATGCCATCATCTCCTCAGGCAGGACACGATCTTATAGCTAGAGGGGGGAAAAAAAAAGAGTAAAATATATATATCTAAGAGCCGTCCCCACGAGCTACAGATATTGGTATGGATTATCCCTGATCTATCAATCAGTTTCTCCCTGCGGCCAGACAATCACGTACTTCAGGTCAAAGTTTACGGCGAGAGAAACTTTGGGGCGGAAGTTAAGAATTCGTTGCCCTATACCAGGGACTCCTAGATTTCTGCCACCCTTCAACTTCTTGTTACGTATGTTGGCGGTTTCTCTTCATAATCTACACTACTTCATTTTTTCTTTATCAATATTGCTCGTCTGGATAGAACATCAACTCTCGATTCGTAGTTGTATTAATTCGTAGTTGTATTAATTCGCCCCGTACCATGACCCCTCGTTTTAGTAATGAATAACTGCATGTAATTTTATCTCTTCTCACAATGTATTCCAACTCCAAACAACATTTTTGTCCAA